AGCAGCCTCTCAGAAAAACATATTTTGTCCTAATTTCTTTAATTGAATCTGTGAAAAATGCAAACAAACAACATATAGATGGATGACACAGATTGACAGGCACAAAATTGTATTTTTGCACCAAAAATGAGGTTAGGAGGGAGGTATATCTAATTGGCTATAGCTGCCAATGCACTAAAAGCATACACTGTCAGGAGCACTGTCAGTCACGGACTGGCCTCCCCAGAGCCTGAACATCCCACTGTTAAGTAGTGGAGTAGCAATAAGCAAAACATGTTTAAATTGAATGAGTTTAAGTAATACTTTTGTGTTTTTGAAAATGACTGAAATTACCTAAAAATAGTCAGTACTATTTTTAGTACAAGTCTGGAGGGATCTGCACTTGTAAGCTACATTTAGCTCTCTGAGAGGTTAAACAGTCTGTATTTAGTTTGTAGTTGTCTCTCAAACAGATTAATGTCCTGTTAACCCCTCCTGTTACCATAGTTATCTACAACTAATGAGCTTACACAACCTCCTGTTCTCTGTTTGTTCAGTGTGGATGGCAAGTTAAAGATTTAAACAAGGGCTACTGAGGACAAGCTGAGAATTTAGCAAGTCAACGTAACAGAATTTCAGATGTGACATTTTTAAAATAGAAGTTTCCAGACACTTTCAAATCCTCTTGTAAACACCTTAAATAATATGTATGTGTAACAAACAGTGTTGGGGAGTAACGGAATACATGTACCGCCGTTACGTATTTAAAATACAAAATATGAGTAACTGTATTCCGTTACAGTTACCGTTTAAAAAGGTGGTATTTAGAATACAGTTACTTTGTTGAAATAAATGGATTACACAGCGGTACTTTCATATTGTCGCGGGTCAGGACTGTTTGGGTTTTGTTTGACAGCTACGTTCTGTTGTTCCAGGCGGCAGCGTTACGGTTGCCATGGTTACAGAGTGCCGCTCTCTCTGCGTGTTTCCTGGGTGAGAGAGGCCTTTTTGTTGTTGTTGTGCTAAGCTAATAGGCAGAATGCTACAGGTATAGCTCTAAAGAATGTAGCATCATAGGCAGTGTAGTCCGTGCTGCAGGGAGAATGGACTGCCATACACGTCTTGTGTCTGTGAGCGAGGGAGGGAGAAAAAGGAAAAGTACGAGCTGTCATGAGCAAAAACGGGAGCTGGAAGCATGTAAATAGAATAATAACCACTGCAGCCAAGAAGAGTGCCTGACACGCCAAGTTGTAAGTAAGCTATTAAGACTCAACTGTACACCGTGTTCATGTTTTCCTCCAAAAACAATAAGTTCCTTTGGAGCAGCCGTTCAACGCCTCTCTCTGTCTCTGGCAAGCAAAGTTGACCCAGACAACAAAGTAAAGCTATTTTTCGGCTACGAGCCCGACACAGAACCCACCGTATTAGCCAGAGGTCCCTTTACTACGGTTCGGAGCTGTTGTTTACAACAGTTGTAGTTGTAAACAGCATGATAATATATTAAGTAATCCAAAGTATTCAGAATATGTTACTGTCATTGAGTAACGTAACGGAATACGTTACAGAATACATTTTGGGGCATGTATTCTGTATTCTGTAATGGAATACATTTTAAAAGTAACACTTCCCAACACTGGTAACAAAAAATGTTAATTACTATTATGCAATTTACCACTGAAGCTATTGTTATGCAGAGTATCAAGAGAGAGAGATTCAAGAGTCATCCTCTGGGACCATGAATATCTGTACAAAAAATGCCCAAAGAGTGAATAGAATGACGCGACAGAATAAGTTTTTTGCCCCAGTTAGATCCTTTAGAGGGGCACAAAAAACCCCAGATTAAGCTGCCGTAGTGAGCTGGACTTTTTCAACCATACATACGGAAGTGAAGGCCTGTCTTTGTGTAAACTGCTTTTACATTATGCGAGCTTGACCACATTAATCCTTAACCCTGGGTTTCTCTTCAGATGTTCCATCACCTCTGACTTATCTGAATCAGTCGTGGGGATGGAGAAATAGCAAATTTCTTGTCTGAAGTAATTCTCAACCCCCATCATTTTGCAAATAAATACAGCTTTACAGCTGGGTGCCCTCGATTTCTCCCACCCATCTCTGTATCTACAGTACTTCTAATACAAAACCAGAAATGAAGCAGTGATGCGTAATCATATTTTGTGATTCATGATCTCTACTAAAACGTGGTCATTACTGCAAAGGCGCCTGCTATTTTGATGCATAGATATCCTTATCGACTTGCCCAGAAATTTAAATGAGATTTGAATTTTTCATGTACCGCCAAATGGCCAGAGCTGTTAATGTCTTGATTTCGATGTGTGAGCTTTAAGAAGACTCAAGCACTGTGACAAGGAAGCTGTAGCAGAGTGTAATATTCAGCAGATCCTTGCAAATAATTCATTTTTTAAAAACAGGATTAATTGGAATTCCTTTTTTTGGCGAACAGCTTTTGTAATTGTAATTATCAGGGACTTTCAGTATTTAGTTTCATTATGTGAAGGACCATAATTGCTTTTTTGCTTTTGTTGGTTCATTGTATTTGTTTTACCCTGTTACACTCGACACATTTAGCTTGTTATGTGTGTTTGTGCATCTTTGCTCACCCTGTTAAATACTCTCAATTTTATAGTCAAATTCACTGGCAACAGTGGCACAGAGGATGACTCAGCAGCAAGCAAAAGAATTCCTAATACTTTATCACATACTCATCGTTGTTGTATCGCGTTCTCCTGCAATTCAGTGGCACAAACACGGCACATTACTACACTGCTTTTTTGCTGGAAGGTGTTTCATTCATCAGGTGGCAATGTAATTAAAGTGTTGTCTGAGATTCTTTTGGTGCAAAGGCTGGAGGCTGCTTAACCAGGCTGCATTCTTTATCATAGCATTTCATAAATCACTGAGCACTGTTTTTCTAGTCAGTGTGAGTTGCTATAAATATTTTCTCCTTAAACCTCTGGTAACGGTAAAATAATTTGTCAATAATTAACCAAAGCTACAACGAGTTGTCAGGTAATTAAATGTGACTGAGCGATCCAAAGATAGTTTATGCCAAAGGGGGGTTTATTGTTATAAACATCTCTCGGAGATAATTAAAGATGATTCAATGCTTTCTTGTTTACTTCCCATGCCTACATTTATTGCGAGTGCTTGAAACAGTCTGTCGTTTATGTTCTAAGGTCAGGTTTGGGTCTGCCGTATGTCTAACCTTAAACAAATGTTGTAGGCAGCCTATCCATCAAATTGTGGGCACTCTTGACATGAATTAGTTTGTACGATATGGCATCTAACCGTGTCTGAAGGAGAAAGTGTTATAGCAGCTCTGAACAGCCACATTTCAAGGTACCCTGAAAGGCTGGAAATCGTATTCATATTGTTGGACTTTTTTACGTATAAAACTGAGAGTAGTTACAGGAGACTAATTTGCCAAATGACTGTGTGGATGTTGATTCTGAGATTTTATTGCATTGTTGAAAAGGTGTAGGGGGTTGAATGTTCAAACACCTTAACCATGGTTTGATTGCTATCAGTACAATATTTCCAGCAGTTTCCATGTACAGCTATCATGGAATGCTATAATAATAGTAATGATAGCTGTAATTCTTACCCAAATTGTCCACAATTGTCAAAATTGTTCTACTGAGTGTGTTTTAAATGGAAATTTGACCCTTAGCAAGGGCCCACACATTTTCTGATTTTCACAAGCTTCTCACCAAGAATCACAGATTTATTTACCTTCTCTGCAACACACTTGATTCTTGGGTGCAGTGACTGCTGCACAGTTTAAATTGGCCAGCTCCTTGAAATCATAGTTTTTGATGGAATCTTTGTGTTCCCGGTGCAGTATGACACCGCACATACAGCCTACACGGTGCATACGATCCCTGGGGTGCAAATCTTTGAACCAGAAGCAGTCACTAGTGAAGTTGTCATTGTAGTTTCTGCTCAGGTTAACCTGCCATCTCTGGATGTGGCTTGATATCTCCTGGGGGCAGCATACCCTCACCGACAGGTAGAAAAATTGTTACAAAGAATGGTGTGAAGAAAGGCAGCCAGGAAAGGAAAGAAACTGAAAGGAAAGAAAAAACAGATGCATAAACGCACCTTTGAAGAGGACATCAGCAGGTTTGTGGCACTCAGGCAAACCTCTTTTCTGTCCTCATGGAGGATGCATCTCACCAGATGAAAGAAAGAGCCCCTTTGAGGTGGCGCCCTGGCATTATCCCTACATCCTGCATCAAGTAATTGAAAGACCTTAGAGTATGGTAAGGGGATCAGGGGAGCAGGTAAGGGGGGTGAGTCATCCTAGCAATCTTCCAGTTGGACTTGGAAAAGGATAAATAAACGAAACCTAAGAAAATAACTAATATGCTTCACTAGTTGTTAAGCAAGCACAAAAAGTTTAGTATGCTTGTGTAGAATATATTTCCAGCACACAATGCACCATGCACGATGCAGGTTTAAAATAGACTATCCATCACTGAGGACTTACTACTTTGTAGGTAATTACAGACAAAGCTTTTTATTTTATACGAGGATACCACACTATATGTGCACAAGTCTGTGTAGAACGATGGGTATAAAGTTGTGACAGTATTATACTTATTGCTGGCTTGGCTGACATTTCTGCCCACAAGGGCTTAGCAGAGAGCACTGCGGTGTTTTGTTAGAGAAAGCAAGGAAAATAAACAAAGGGAATAATATTCCATGTTTTAAATTGCTCCATTTTTAGGGGGCTGAATGTGGGGCGGTCCTGAATGTGCTCGATGGATCAAAGTAATCTCTGTCAAATCAGTGTCAGCACACTCTCTGCATGCTATTTAATCCCTCTTGGCATGGCATCTAATATGTTGCACTGAATATGCATTATCTACATTTCAGCTGTCATAAAGCTGCCACATTTTTAGTGAATGAGTTAAATGTTGAGCGACTGCATTTGTAAATTAGATCCTTAAAAAAAGATAATGCTGTGTCACTGTTTTGACATTTCAAAAGAAAATGTCCTCTTGCAAGTATTTTTCTTTTTTTAAAACAGCAAATTCTACACAGGAATTCACCGCACTTGCGCTTTCATCTTTTCCTAAAGGCTTTTTTCCTTTTCCTCATGTCTGTCCCCACTCATTTTTCTTCCTCATTCCCTCCAGTTTTCCAGTAGATGAAACAGAACATGGTTTCTCATTATCAGCCAGACTCCTCCCTCTCTTTGACTGGTGCTCTTTTCCCCTCCCTCCCTCATGTGCGGAGGGCTCGGCAGTGAGTGTTAATCCCGGATTGCGCTGCCCTGCCGTCTGCATCCCGTTGTTGCTGGGAGAGCATGGCACGGCTCCAGGACCCCTGCGCTGACACGACAGAGAAGTGAATGAGTAACAGAGAAAGAGAGGGAGAGAGGAAAGAGGTACAGTTGGACTGCTTCATGACTACCACAGCTGCTTGAGTGTTATTTAGTTTCAGTCACACACTCTCTATCACATAACTAGAAGGAAAAGAGAGAAACAGGAGGGATGGCAGCCGGTTTGTCGCAGCTGTGGGAACTACTGTAAGAGAGGAAACCTCGGTCACATCCCGGGTTCCAACACATCGCAGCACTTCTCTTCTTTGCGTTGCACCTTCCTCACTGTTCACATTTGACAGGGATTAAACTTTTTTTTGATCTGTTGCTGGCAAATCTGTAACTCTGTCAGACATGGAGTCTCCCACCAAAGAGATTGAGGAGTTTGAAAGCACGGCCCTGAAGTACCTCCAGCCAGAACAGATAGAGAAGATTTGGCTCCGGCTCCGGGGATTGTGAGTATATCCACTTTTATTCTTTTCAACAAGTGTGTGAAGCAGCACTGTGCATGCTTCAGCGTGTTTGAATGAGGCATTTGATGTTTAGAAGTGAGTTGATCTGCAATCGTGTGAATTATTCATACATTTTGACAAAAAAAGAGGCGCAGTTTCTGTCGCCTTTATTATGGTTGTTATTATAAAAGTGTGACCATCACACTCATTTCTTAGTTTCAGTTGTGTTGTGTGTATGTCATTTTATGGGAGACAGAACCCAGAGTGAAAATGTAAAATAGAAAGAAAAACAGAGAGGGAGTGTGTGTATGTAATTACTCAGGCCAAACATAACCATACATTTCCAAATGGTTTGTTTGCCTAACTGAACAGGAAGGAAGAAGAACATCGGAGCTCGAGTGTTGCTCACTCTTGTGCAAGAAAATCTTTACTCGCCTTAACTTTTCATTATGTTTTCACTGTCTCATCAGTTGTGCAATAAACACCTGCTGCCCATGCAGACTTGTGCAGCATGTCTGTACATTTAAACTTCAGTGGCTAAAAGAGTGTATTTTTCAGATACTGAGGTGTGTCATGGGGTTCATTCTTTTTTTTCGTTTAACATTTCACAAACCTTTCAAACGTCTCATCTCTTATTTCTCCTGGTTTCATTAAAGATTCTTACTTACTTTGTCACATTCACCACCAATCAACACCTCTATGACCTTTCTCCCTGAGAGGAAAGCACTTTATATGTAAGTTGAAGTGTGAAATGTTCTTTTATCCATTTTCAGTTCACATCATTCCTACTCAGCAGGGGGAGGAGACAGCACTGTTGCTAGGAGGGTTGGGCTATGAAGGATATCTTTAATGCTGCTGCTCAAGGTCTCAATGAAATACATTTCCCTCCTGCACATAAAGGCAGCAGTTAGAATTCCTGTAACTCTAATACCAAATATTTTTGTTATTTTTTATTTGCCAGTATTTAATTATATAGCTCCGTGATTATGCATTGTTTATCTCTCCAGTGTTAAAAGCTTGATGTTCCACCACCATCCTCTGCCACATTTAGTTTCCTTGGATGACTTCATTGTCTCTTCAATTTGCTCACCGTCAAAACCATCTGTCTTTTTGGATAATTGATGGATAGTGAGTCAGATGAATGTAACGGGAGCTCAAGCCTTTTTTCCCCCCTTCCTTCTTTTTCTTTTTCTTTTTTAAAGGGCTACACAGCAGTTGGCTGGGTGCTCTGAGGACTCCTGTAGTGTGTCAGAGATCACATTAGCCTTTAATCTCACAAAAAGCCTCTGTCTAAAAAGAGTGAGCCCCCAACTGACAGGCAGCACCCACAGATGTTGACACAGACTCACAACATAAACTTGCAGAGTATATTTTCTGTGCTTAATAGGGATTAGATAACATGTTGCAGCATTGAGGTGTTTGTGACTGCGAAAGGATGACTGTGCATGTGTTCGAGTGGGTGATATAGATTGTGGACATGTTTGAGTCCAACTTGGGGATATTTACTATAGGTGCTGCTAGCTTACCCTAGATTTGTTTGTCAGCTGTGTGATTTGTATGTGAGTTTGCTGGTTGACACAGCACAGTTTCTGGCACAGTGTACTCCACAGAGTGTACCAAACATGTGTGGATTGACAGAGCATATGTTTTGGACAGTTAGCTCTATGCTCAGTCTTCAATGATGAGGAGTACACCGTGGTCACCAGCCTGTAACAGATGGCCCTTGTTTTTATATGTAATATATCAGTGAGTCGATTCCAGTGTATTTGTGTTAATAAATTAGCTTACTTAGGCAGACCTGATCTGTCTCCCACTGATTAATAGAAATTAATTATTTAATTAGTGGGTAAACAGTTCATAAAAAAGTGCTTGCTTGAGGAGAGGGCAGTGTAAGGAAGTCCCAAGAATCAAGGTGGCTGACTGCCACATCTGATCTATAAGGCTCTAACTAAAATAAATTATTATAATCATAGCAATCCAATAACAGTCATAAACAGTAACATAGACCCCAAGTACATGTAAGAAAATGTGCACTTTACCTGAAGTGCACTGGAGCACACTGGAGTGCACTGAATACGCCCCTAAAATGGTTTTGCAGGTGCTGTCCACAGATCATTGCTTTCTCTTCATCTTCCTTTCTGACTGATTTTTCTCTAGTTTTTGTTTTTGCTAGTATCTGTCACTACTGGTAGCACACACAGTACCTGGAACTCATTCAAAATGCATAAGTTGTCAGTAGTCTTACTTCTCCAGGATATCACATCCATATGTGCTGTCATGTTGGTGTTGTCCTGAAAGTTTACTTTGTCTCTCAGCGGAGTCTCAAAAGTGTTGAGGAGGCACCAGGAGATGGGCTATTAAAAAATGTGTATCTGCTAGTTTGTGCAAAGAGGTTAAGGAGGTCTCCTGAAAGAGCCCTTCAAAATGACCTGAAGGCACTAGCTCTTATGTTTCTAAAAAGATGGTGAGAAACTGACTGCTTCAGTCGGACCTCTGATCACAGCCCGTCAGAAATGTGCACATGAGTAGCCCACTTGAGAAAGGGCAGTGCTCCTCCTGTTATACAAAGTCACCAATACCAGCCCTGGTGCTGGGTCGATGCACTTCTAAGCCCTGTCCAGCTCTCCTTCAGTAAATCACAATTAGTGCTTTTTTCAATGGCTTGCAAGAAGGTTTGCTGGACCTGTACAATTTGAATGGGATGCAGGCATTATCTCGTGCTACTAGTAGTGACAAGGACACCCACCCAAAACAAAAACAAGAAAAAAAGCAGAGCAATAATCTTTGATCATTACCTGAAAAACCATCCCTAGTTTTTGGGTTGTCTTGTTGATGCCTTTCCAGACACTTGGGTTTGCACCAAAGCAAGTGAAATTGATTCACAATGGTTTAAGCTTGGTTACTAGAAATACTGATATCTGTGAAGTTGAAGTGACTAAGTGTTAAACTGTGATGATCAAGTGTTCCTTGAATTATTTTGAGCTGTGTATTTTGCTTGTTATAGTTAAAAATACTTAACAGATTGTAAAATGATTAGTGAGACGATTAGTACTTAAATGATTAGAGCAAATATTTATCATCCCATGTGTTGGATTCAGTTGTGGGATTGCCTAGTGCTGTTATCTTCTGTCAAAGTAATTGAGAAGAGCTAATATTACTGTAATGTTATAACTTTATTGTAAGCCTAATCATCCGGTATTTACTGTGCTTCCTTGGGAGGTTTACGGACTACAGGGTTTGAGAAAGATGTGATGCCACTGGCAGGCGACCAAATAAAACAAGTCTTTATATTAATTAAAATTGCAGAGCTCCGGTTGTATGTATGTTAATGTAAGTAAATAAATAGAAAATGTATTTTTTGTGCAAAATGAAATGAAATATCACTTCAAAACTTTTTGGTAACCACAAATGATTAAATCTGTCCAAAAACATTGCAATATTTACCAGAACTTCCTCAGCTCTAGCTCGGCGCCTGCTATAAAACATGATATTCATTCTTATCCATTTCTTATGATGATATAAGAAAGGCTAATACGTAGACTAACTAAATGAATAACAATATATAATCATAGACAAAAATTATGTGCATAAGATATATATGGTATATGGTAATATCACGACAAATAATTGTGTGGACCTATACTGTATTAACTAAAAAATCTGCAAATAAACTATAAAGTATAAAATAAACTATAAACTATAAAATACTTTATAACTAATGATATAGTAACAGAAAAACAGAAGATATTTCTTTTTTTTTAAAAAAAGTATATTTTCATATGAGGACAAGGCTTTATTTTAAAGAACAGCACAATAAAGTCACCATTGTTTAAGAAAACACAAATGATACAAATTAAGTATATGGATAAAAAGAACCAAAATGTAATGCCTCCAAATGAGGGCAGAGAGTCTCAGGAGGTTTACATATCAGCACCTCGCCATATAACTCTTTTGGCAAGGTGTACAGGCCAGACAATGAGGTAAAAGTGTCATGAATTCTGATTTGAGCATTCCGATTGAATCTCTATCTTATATAGGACCACATTCAGTGTAAATATCTATCCCTCCATGCACTTTCTTCTGCTTATACGGGGGCAGGAGCCTAAGCAGAGAAGCCCCGCACTCCCTATCCCTGACCACCTCCTCCAGCTTGTCAGAGGGAAAACCAAGCAGTCCCAGGATGGCCAAGAGATATAATCTCTCCAGCGACTCCTGAGTCTTCCCGGCGGGACATTCCCAAAACACCAACCCCAAGAGGCATCCTTGTCAGATGCCTGAAACACCTCAACTGGCTCCTTTTGATGCGGCAGCTCTACTCTGAGCCTTTTCCAAATGGCTGAACTTCTCACCCTATCTCTAAGGGAGAGGCCAGCCACCCTTCGAAGAAAGCTCTTTTACCTATTTCTGTATCCTCAATCCCAATTCTTTTGGTCACTGCCTGAAGCTTGTGACCATAGGTGTGGTTAGGGATGTAGATTGACCGATAAATTGAATGCTTCACTTTTACGCTCGGCTCTCTCTTCACCACGACGGACCAGTACAGCATCCGCATCACCGCAGCCGCAGCACCAATCCGTCAATTGGTCTCCAACTCCCCTCTCCACCCACTCGTAACCCTTAGAAGTCCTCTACTTGGGTTAGTAACACCGGTACTACAAACTGTTCCAGTGCGAGCTGGAGGACACCACTTGATGAAGCAAACAGAACCACATAATCTGCCACCACATCAAAGCAGAGATGGGATTCTGAGATTGCCCAAGTTGAAGCCTTCCACCACTCGGCTACACCTAGAAATTCTGTCCATAAACTTTATGAACAGAATTGGTGACAAAGGGCAGCCCTGGGGGAGTCTGACACCCATCATGAATGAGTCTCACTTATTGCCAGCTAAGCAGACCAAGCTCTTCCAATGGTTCTATAAGGATCAAATGGCTCGTAGCAATGGGCCAGACACCCCATACTCCTGCGCCTCCCACAGAACATTTCTAGGGACACGATCAAATGCCTTCTCCAAGTCCACAAAACACATGTAGACTCGCAAACTCCCATGCACCCTCAAGTACCCCCCGAGAGGGTAAAGAACTGGTTCAGTGTTCCACGACTGGGACGAAAACTGCATTGTTCCTCCTGTACCTCATGTTCGACTAACAGATGGACTCTCCTTTCCTGCACCCTGGCGTAGACTTTCTCAGGTTGGCTGACGAGTGTGTTCCGCCTATAGTAGGAGCACATGCTCTGGTCCCCCTTCTTAAAGATGGGAACCACCAACCCACATCCACCCTGAGGCCCTGCCAACAAGGAGTTTAACTGCCTTAGTGACTTCACCGCCAGTGATGGACGAGTCGTCCCCCTTGACCCCCGTGGAAATATCATGTTTAGTTTATTTTAAGGTTACATTTACTATAATGTTTAACCTTTATATGGTAAATGATAAATGGCCTCGCTTTTACTAGTCCCCCCTAGGGACCCCAAAGCGCTTTATACACCCAGTCATCCACCCATTCACACAC